GTTCGTAATAAAAAAAAAATGGGTTGCAATCCAAAAAAAGGTTGCAAACTGGGACACGCACTTCCGGGTTTGACGTGTTTGTAATCCAAAACGTATGCAAACCAAGATGTATGCAAACCAAGGTAACACTTATTATTATTATTATATAATTTATTTAAAATTCAGCGGCATTTCGATGCAAATTCCTCTCAATATGCACGTTGTTGTATGGGATTTTGCATTTAGGGATGCTGTTTTCACACAGCATCTCCTCTCCTGCCCCTCCCCCACTGTTGTTTAAGCAGTGTTTTAAAATTATAAAACATTAGTAAAGGTAAAGGTAAAGGGACCCCTGACCGTTAGGTCCAGGTCGTGACCGACTCTGGGCTTCGGTGCTCATCTTGCTTTATTGGCCGAGGGAGCCGGCGTACAGCTTCCGGGTCATGTGGCCAGCATGACTAAGGCGCTTCTGGCGAACCAAAGCAGCGCAAGGAAACGTCCGTTTACCTTCCTGCCAGGGCCGGTAACCTATTTATCTATTTATCATCTAATCTATCTATCTATCTACTCGATGATCTATCGTATCTATCTATCTATCTATCATCTATCAATCTATCTATCTATCATCTATCTATCCTATTCTATCTATCTATCTATACTATCTATCTAATCTATCTATCTAATCTCTATCTATCATATCTATCTATCTATTTATCTATTTGCACTTTGACATGCTTTGGAACTGCTAGGTTGGCAGAAGCTGGGACCGAGCAACGAGAGCTCACCATGTCACAGGGATTTGAACCGCCGACCTTCTGGTCGGTAAGTCCTAGGCTCTGTGGTTTAACCCACAGCGCCATCCGTGTCCCATGAACATTAGTACCATCCCCTTAATTGATTCAGGCCAGATCCATGGTGGGGGTGGGGTCCCTGGGCTGGCCAGGGGAAGAGTTGATCTGATCAGGGATATAGTCAGGGGGTTGTGTATAGCCCTATTAATCAGTGGCGGCACCCTGTTTAAGGACCTCCCTCCCCCCCAAAGAGGCTTGTCTGGTCTTGGCACTCACTTTGTTGTCGTCTTTTTTTTGGTGCCAGAAGTAGACCTTTCTGTTCTCCTGGGCATTTTGAGCTTTTAAGCTCTGAGCCTGAACTGCAATTTCCAGTGTAATCCTATTAAGGCTTGCTCAAAAGTAAATGTGGCTGTGTTCTGTTGGACTTAACTCCCCTAGTAATCAGGCATAGATTTGCAACCTTAATCAGCTGCTCTTGGGCTGCTGTCCTATGCACACTTACCTGGGAGCAAGTCCAGTTGAAACCAATGGGGCTTACTCTTGAGTATTTATTCTGTTTTTATTCATTTGCTGCATTTCTTCCCTGCACTTCATTTATTTATTAATATATTTTTATTAAAGATTTCTCCGTTCGCAAAAATACGTGCATTGTCTCTTTCTCCAAGTTCTGTTTTTTTACAGATCAGTTTCATTCCTTGCGAGACATTAGTCTTGTGTGCAGTATTAGGTTGGGAAGAGAAGAGGGGGGATAGTGATTGGGGTGGGGTGGGGTGGTTCTGCTTCTATTCTTCTGCTTAGTGTATGTGTGGGGTTTTCTGTCAGCGTCACTTGTATTGGTCCTCTTACAATTCGCTTGTTGTGTTTCCATGGCTGTCAATTGGTGGGTCTGTTGGTTGCCATTCTGGCAGAGAATCGAGTCTGAGGTTCTCCAATAGTTGCAGGGCTTCAGGTATGTTGGTGGCCGTGTACTGTGCTGTGTTGGTGGTTACAATGAGGCGAAAGGAGAAGCCCATCAGTACTTGATTCTTCTTGTTGAAGATGTTGGATACATGGGCGTAGGTTTTCCCTCTGGTTTAGGGTCTCTTGTGATTACCTGCTCTTCATTGCAGTTGTAATTTGAGAGAGGGTTACAGTGGAACCTCGCAAGACGAATGCCTCGCAAGACAAAAAGCCCGCAAGACGAAAGGGTTTTTTGAGCTGCTTCGCAAGACGATTTTCTCTATGGGCTTGCTTCGCAAGACGGAAACGTCTTGCAAGTTTGTTTCCTTTTTCTTAACACCGTTAATACAGTTGCAACTTGACTTTGAGGAGCAACTCATAGCACGCGGTGTGGTAGCCTTTTTTGAGGTTTTTGAAGACTTTGGTGATTTTTGAAGCTTTTCCGAAACTTTTCCGACACCGTGCTTCGCAAGACGACAAAACTCGCGGAACGAATTAATTTCGTCTTGTGAGGCACCACTGTACAGTTAAAACAAATGCATATTCATAGCACAATTATTAAAGAGCAAGGCAGATCACTTACAACCAGTCATAGAAAATAAGCAGACATGGATAGAGCTGCCCTGTTCATTTCTGACTTTAATGAATTGGACACAACAAAGTTCTACTCAGACCTGAAATGAATGCATGTAAGTTAGCCATGTCCTTTAATTATACTGGTTCTACTTTGACTGTAAGAAGCCTGTCCCCCCCCCCCCAACTGTCCATTTATGTTTATACTGTTTTGTTTGTATTGTTTACCAGGTTGCTAACTGTCCTAAAAACCAGCTGGTATGCAAAAACAAAGCCAGCAAACAAACAAATGTGTTTTCTGATGACTTGCAGATGCCTTTTCAGTTGGCTGAAAAAGCTTAAAATTGATTAATCAGCTATTAAAGGTTAGAACCTTAAAGAAACAAACGAACAGCAGGTTGAACAATGCCTGCAATTAGACCACCTTCTGTTGATGCAAGAGATGTCACTTTGGAGTTACAGGATACTGAGGTCCTTGCCATCAGCCGGGGTGTTACGATGTGTTACAAATGCATCAGGTTTCCTTCAGACAGTCAATGCTGTTACAAGTATTCTGCTCTGTATTCTGCTCTGGTCAGACCTCACCTGGAGTACTGTGTCCAGTTCTGGGCACCACATTTCAAGAAGGACACTGACAAACTGGAACGTGTCCAGAGGAGGGCAACCAAAATGGTCAAAGGCCTAGAAACGATGCCTTATGAGGAACGGCTAAGGGAGCTGGGCATGTTTAGCCTGGAGAAGAGGAGGTTAAGGGGTGATATGATAGCCATGTTCAAATATATAAAAGGATGTCACATAGAGGAGGGAGAAAGGTTGTTTTCTGCTGCTCCAGAGAAGCGGACACGGAGCAATGGATCCAAACTACAAGAAAGAAGATTCCACCTAAACATTAGGAAGAACTTCCTGACAGTAAGAGCTGTTCGACAGTGGAATTTGCTGCCAAGGAGTGTGGTGGAGTCTCCTTCTTTGGAGGTCTTTAAGCAGAGGCTTGACAACCATATGTCAGGAGTGCTCTGATGGTGTTTCCTGCTTGGCAGGGGGTTGGACTCGATGGCCCTTGTGGTCTCTTCCAACTCTATGATTCTATGATTCTAAGTCTGGATGAAACCCCAGATGCCCTACCAAACCTGGGACCCTATATCTGTGAGGGCAAAGCTTGCCAAACCCCTTCCTTTGTCAAGCGTGGCTGGTTAAAGTTCCATGATTCAGCATGAGCAAAGAATTTGCTCTGGGTTCTAGCTGCGACATAGAACCAGAGCCAGATTTGTGTGTGAGTGAGTTGGAAGGAGGCTGGAAGCTAGAGACACAGAGACATATTTGCTCCATTCTGGGCTTTGGGGCTCTCCTGGAAACCTCATGCAGATGCAAGATCTGTTGGGGTGTTAATGCTGTAAGCCCTCTCTCCTATGCTCAGGTTGTATATATAGTCAAACCTCGGTTATCGAATGAAATCCGTTCTGGAAGCCCGTTCAGCTTCTGAAATGTTCAACAATTGAGGCGTGACTTTGGTTGCAAGAGCTTCCTGCACTCAAGCGGAAGCTGCGTCAGACGTTCGGCTTCTGAAAAATGTTCAAAAACCGGAGCATTTACTTCCGGGTTTTCGGCGTTTGGGAGCCGAAATGTTCCAAAATGGAGCCGTTTGGGAACCAAGGTTTGACTGCATGTGGAAATAAAACTATATATCCTAAAGACACCACATGAAGAAGAGACTCCATTTTATGTGAAGCAAGATGACTGTGCTTTAGAACACTGCTAAGTTGAATCGAGTGTTTGTGTGATGGCCTGGGAATCGGATTCAGAGGCTGAACCTGAGGAATCCCAGCCTGCACAGGAGTCCCCGCCTCCAGGACCAGCTGAGCTGGGGCTGGGACTTGAACCTGAAGGGCCCTCACCTGTGCCAGATCCTCAGGAGCAGACGCCAGCTGAATCTGCTCTGGCTCCGGAGGTGATCGAGGACCCAGGTGCTCCACTCTCAGCCCCGTCAGGGGAAGGTGAGGTTGCCTCTGGGTCCAGTAACCCTCCAGTCTCTCCTGAGCTGCAGAGGCTCAGGGCAGAGAGGCGGAGGGAACAAAGTTCTCGCAGGAGGAGTGCTCGCCTCCAGGCCAGGAGAGGCGAGTTGCCTGTGGATCGGGGCCGCCCTATGCCTCAGGGCAGATAAAAGCAGCAAGCCAGCCCAGTCCCAGGTTGCAGGAGCAACACTGTTGGTAACCTGTTCCTGCCGGCACCCTGTCCTGCTCTTCTGCCAGAGTTCCTGACCACACCCGATTCCTTGCCTTGGACCCCGCTTCAGCCTTGACGGACAACCTCCATACCACACCCTCGACCTTGGACTGGACACAGACCACACCGCACGGTAACCCCCCGGGACCAGCACAGTTGGAGTGCTTCTTCTCTGCTTGAAAGAGAGCAAAGCTACAGGAGAAGATAAAGGCCCCATTAATTTACAGGGGCCCACACTGCCCAGGTCCTACTTATGGTGGCTGCTTGTAGTTTTGCTTGCTTACCATGGCAGGATTGTTAACTTTTGTTGTTTATTGGACCTATTTATATAATTTTGTAATTTTCATATACCATTTCCCCCCGTTTATCTTATTTCTTTGTTCCCTGATCTGGGATAGAAGATAATAAATGAAGAGCGGACTATTGTGTCCCATTCACACATACCACATGCCCCCACTCCAAATGACTGATGACCTTCACACAAAACAGACACAGAGATTAAAGACAAAAGTATTTATAAAAGTATTTAAAGTGACAACTCTTTAACTTGTGTTCTCAAAACGAAGCAGTCGAACGGTTGTCCTCTCACACAGATGCTGGTGGCGGTCAAGCCGTTTCCTCTGGGTGTGCTACCAGCTTGAGAGATGTTTGGATTTTGCAGGGTCTGGGGACAGGGGAAGAGCGAGGCCTCTACCATTCTACCACCCTGGTTGGAATCAAGACCTGTAAAAGGAACAGTGAGGGAGAAAGGTCTAAGGCTACGGACAGCAATTGCACATCAGTTTTGTACTGGCAACTTCCTTGATGTTTGTGGATGCTCATTGTCAGGTGTCAGAGTCAAACCCCCATGGTAGGTTGCCAGGAACAGATAACAACAACAACAACAACAACAACAACAACAACAACAACAACAACAACAACAACAACAACAACTTATCTATACCCCGCCTATCTGGCTTACCAATGCTTTTTATTCAATATTCACAGAGAGAGGCTTAGACATGCAGCCTCTTGGAGTGATGACAGTGCTCCAAGTGAGTCTCCACCTCCCCTCCGTCACGGCTAGAAATTGGCCGCTGTTTCTTTAATGCTTAAAATGCTGGGTCAGCATGAGACAGCGGCCTGCACCGGGTTGTATATATATATAAAGTGAGAAATGTTAGTTTGTTGTTGGGTTGGTTGGTTGGTTGGTTAGTGAAAGCTGGTAGTGTTGATGTGTACAGTTGGTCAGTCGCTTTTGCAGAAAGACTTTTAAGAATAAAAGCAGAAGGTACTCTGCAAGTACACTCTTCTCGTGGACTCTTTTATGCCGACAAGGGTCCGAGGACCAGGAGAGGCAAAAAAGGGAGGTCAGAACTCCCCCTTTTTTTACAAACACTGACACCCTCTCTCACTTCCACTATGCATCATCACTACGGGTGCTGAGATGTGCCCTCTGCCTCTGAGCTCTCTGCTCTCCTACCATAAATGCCTGCTGGGTTCTGGGAGAGGTGGGGGTCTGGAATGCTTTCTAAAGACACTGTGTCCATCAGCTGTCCTCCCTCTGGTGCTGCTTCTTCCTCCTCTCCCATTATTTCCCAGCTTTCCCCTTATCTGCCTCTGAGCTGTGACCTTCCTCAAACCCCTGTTGTAATTATGAACTGTCGTCTTCTTCTCTGGAAGCACGAAATAAATAAAAAATTAAAAAATTGTCCAGTAGCCCCTTAGAGACCAACTAAGTTTGTTCTGGGTATAAGCTTTTGTGTGCATGCACACTTCTTCGGATACACTGAAACAGAAGTCACCAGACCCTTATATATAGTGGAGGGTGGGGTTTTTCTCAGAAGGGTAGTAGGAGATGGATGATTGATGCAATGGGTATGGTAAACCTGTTGATGACTGTTAACGACTGGAAGGGTCAGGCTGGGGAGGTGGTCTCCACCATTCCTCCTCTGTCCAGTCCCTGACACTCAAGCACTTTTAAACTATATTCCTATGGTATGGGGATTAAGTGGGGTCTTGCATGAGTGGAACGGTGAATTTTTTTATGTTGTGCAACAGAGGAATCCAACACAAAAGTTGTGCTAGCAGGAACCTGATGCTATTGTGCCACAAAGCTACCAGCAACCTGCATGCGCATCCCCTTGCACATTAATGTTCCACTGGAGCAAATCATTTGGTCAGTGGGACAAATTAGACTTCTGAGTGACTTTAACTCAGAACTACATTGCTTACAACCCACTGGGGAGTTGATACAATTGGCAGCAGTTCAGCAGAGGGCGGATGGCTGAAGCGAAAACAGTTGAATACAGTGTTGAGCAGGTGTGTGTAAGCCAATGGATGCTCCCATCTGTGCATGCCTTCGTCACACCTCTCGATTACAGTCTAAGGCAGCCTTTCTCAACCTGTAGGTCCCCAGATGTTGTTGAACTACAACTCCCATCACCCTCACTAGCAAGGCTCAGGGATGATGGGAGTTGTAGTCCAACAACATCTGGGGACCTACAGGTTGAGAACCGCTGGTCTAAGGCATGGCATGTCACCCGTCCCAATGCTATGCTGGATTTAAATTCTTAAAGCAGCTTAGCTTCAACAGGAGAAGTCAATGTTCCAAATGAGCCCAAGAAAGGTCCAGTTTTGAATACTCCACCAGTTTGAGATGGTCTGCAGCAGGGTTTAGTGTGGACCCACTCCCATTCATCTTCCTTCCTTAACATTTAGGGAGCCAGAATTGGCACCCCTGCAAATCCAGGATTGTGGCTGCTCAGGGAACTCTGATCCGAGCACCACCTATCCCCAGGTCCAATCCCAATCCACCACGGGCGTCTTCCTGCTTTTCCATTCAAAACCCAAGTTGGAGCAAAACACTAGTAATGCACTTTTTATGAGAATTCAAACCTAGGAATGCATTTTTATGAGTTTTTAAAAAAATAAAAAAGAGCAGCAACACAACTACATAATTTTAGGGGAAAACACTCCCTTCCTCTTCCTTTCCCCTCTCAGTTCCTTTGTCAAAATCAACAAGCATTGCAGTGCAGTTCTGGGAAGGCTCCTGTTTATACTGGCGGTCCAGCGAATGTGGTTAGGAGCATGAAAAGGCTTTAGAAGCATGAAAAAGCTGACTCTGGTCAGCCTCAGGAACCAAAACATGCAGAAAGGCTGGGCTGCGCTGAGGAGGCCAAAGGAAAGATGGGAACTGCAGCTAGTGGTCATGAGTGAAATTATCGGAGGTGGGGACTTCGATTGCCACTAGCTCCTCTTGTTCTGAGCATCTGCAGGGACATAGTGACTTGGGCCCTATTTGAGCTATACAGTGGTACCTCGGGTTACAGACGCTTCAGGTTACAGACTCCGCTAACCCAGAAATAGTACCTTGGGTTAAGAACTTTGCTTCAGGATGAGAACAGAAAATGTGGTTTGGTGGCAGCGGGAGGCCCCATTAGCTAAAGTGGTACCTCAGGTTAAGAACAGTTTCAGGTGAAGAATGGACCTCCTGAACGAATTAAGTTCTTAACCCGAGGTACCACTGAATACATTCTAAACAGTATCATGCCACTTTATGCAACCATGGCTTCCTCCAGAGAATCCTGGGGACCATAGTTTCTCAGGGGTGCTGAGAGACCTCCCCGCTGTTCATCTCACAGAGCTTCAATTCTCAGATTGACTTAACTATCAGTCCCTCTTCTCAGGGAAGTCTGTGAGAGCTGTTCTGATAGTGGAAGAGACCTGCTTTAAGAAGAGGCTGGGTGGCCATCTGCCAGGGATGCTGCCATTCAGGGATGAGGATGCTGTGGACCAGTGGCGTAGCGTAGGTGGGGCCACAGGGGCAGTTGCCCTGGGCATAAAATTCTTAGGGGTGCAAAATGTCAAAAGTAAAGTAAAGTAAAGTAAAGTAAAAACAGTAATAACAAATTAAAAATAGTGTGTCCTCATCTTCACACAAAAAATCTCCCAATGTTTGCTCAGGTAGATTGAGAAGCAGATTTGGGCAGCGTCGCATGGGCTTTGGAAAGATGCCTGCTCCCGACCAATCCCTTGCCCTGCTCTCCGCCTTGCTCAATGCTCATAGGATGCTGTGGTTGTCACTCAGGTAGGTCGCCACACTTCTGCCCCTTCATTGCAGCCTATTGGTGGCCAGTGCCTTGCCCGAGGCACTGACAACCCACGCTACACCACTGCTGTGGACCTCCAGATGATATTGGACTTTTGCACTGAAGCAGGCGGTTGGGCTAGATGACCTACAAGATCCCCTCTAGTCTCTAAAACAGTGGGTCCCAGTTATCTAAGTACTGTGCCCCCCTGTTTTTCCAAAGCCAAGCCAAGGACTTTTGAAAATTTTGATATCACTATGGTAGTTTTTGTGATGTGAATGGTGCCACAGACCCCCCCTGTGTGGGTTACATGGACCCCTAGTTGGGAACCGCTGCTCTAAAATTCTAGGATTGCTCAGTCAGTTGACACTGGACTCCTAATCTCAGGGTTGTGGGTTCAAGTCATGGGCAAAGGATTCCTGCATTGCAGGGGGTTGGACTAGATTACCCTTGCAGTCCCTTCCAGCTCTATGATTCTCAGAACTCTTACTGGGAGATTTTGCAGTTTGTAGTGGCGACGTAGCGCCCGGTGTAGTGAATGTTGCATCTCACCACATTGTTGGTGAAGTCCGACTCCATCACAATATATTTGGGGTTCACCTGAACCTGCGGCAACAAAGCAGAAAGAGCAAGTCAGACTCCAGGATGAAGAACTGGGTGTACTGTATAGCCATCATTCATCTGAATAGTCAAATCCCTTAGAAATGTTATTTTATCTGGCAGTGTCTGTAAAGAGGAAGACCTTCTGATTTTCTTTTTTTCTGTCTCTGCCTCTTACATAGCTCTGCTTTATACCCAATTTATAACGTAATAATTGTATCCATTTTATTCGCTCCTGGTCCCCCCCCCTTTGGCTTTATTATCAAAAGCTCCTCACGCCTATCTTATATTATTTTGTTCTTGGTTTTCTTTTCTTTGTGTGTATTGTCTGTTTTCGTTGCTCAATAAAATTCTAAATAAGAAACTTAAAAATGTTCAAATTTCCTCACAATCTGTGAAATTTCCTCTCCTTAAGAATGGAAACGGATAGATGGCAGATTTGGAGATAAGTGTTTTGGCTATGAAACCTCCAAAATGCCAGCCAAAAAGCAGAATCTCTTCCACGAATATTATTAGCACAGCAGAACACAGAAATTGCTTTTCATTTTATGACCAGCTCAGTTTAGTCCTGACAGATTTAGAAATCCAACGAAGAGGACGACTTACCTTTAGGATATAATTCCCAGGCTGAACATCTGTGATATCAATCCACTGGCAGTCGATGTCAGCATTGTAAGTGTCATAACAACCGGGGCTCAGACCCTAACACAGAAAACACAACTTTAATTTGGTGCCAAACACAAAGCCAGAGTGGTGCATGCTCTAGTTATCTCCTGCTTGGACTACTTCCATGCGTTCTACGTGGGGCTACCTTTGAAGGTGACTCAGAAACTGCAACTAATCCAGAATGGGGCAGACTGGTGACTAGGAGTAGCTGCCGAGTCTACATAATACTGGTCCTGAGGGACCTTCATTGGCTCCCAGTACATTTCCGAGCACAATTTAAAGTGTTTGTGCTGACCTTTAAAACCCTAGATGGCCTCGGCCCAGTATACCTGAAGGAGCGTCTCCACCCCCATCGTTCAGCCCGGACACTGAGGTCCAGCTCCGAGGGCCTTTTGGCGGTTCCCTTACTGCGAGAAATGAAATTACAGGGAACCAGGCAAAGGGCCTTCTTGGTAGTGGGGCCTGCCCTGTGGAATGCCCTCCTGTCAGATGTCAAGGAAATAAACAACTATCTGACTTTTAGAAAACATTTGAAGTCAGCTCTGATTAGGGAAGTTTTTAATGTTTGATATTTTATTGCTTTATTATTATTATTATTATTATTATTATTAAGCTCAAACAGGGATGGGGTCCACTTAGGACCTCCCCAGGTTGATCCCTGCTGAAAGCAAGGCTGGCATCCATCAATCAACTGATTGGCAATGATTGCCAGTCCTGTTTCCTTTGCCTGTAGGGTTTAACTTTGAACTGCGCACGCAAAGGAAGTGTTTTGCTTGACGTGTCTTTTGCCTGTGTGGTTTGAAAAACCAGTTTGCAAAGGCAAACGCTCTACCTGATACCATGGTAAAGTCAGGCAACTGACACACGGATGGCATCACTCTTCCATCCCGGTGGTGTTTGGTGGATGGGAATATCAGGAATCAGCCTCCTGGCAGGATCTTGTTCCCCATCCCTGGTCTTCAGTGGCTGGCCAGGTTTTTATTCAGGATTTCCGCCTCAGACCTACCTGAGCAACTGCCAGGAGCTGAACCTGGGACTTTCCAACATGTCTGCTTTAGTCTTAAGCATGAGGCCTTGGCATCGCTACTTGCAAGCCCGTGACCAACAATTCAGTAATATGCAAGGCAACACAATTACCAAATACAATGATACGATATCAATATACACTGCTCCATAGCAATTGTTGTTCTACTTTTCCATTCACCATATAGATGGGTTTATGAAGCATTTCTGTATCCTTATGCTGTGCTGAAGAAGAATTCCACGAAACAGTGGGTATATCCGGAATCACTGTTCACAACGTCTGTTTGCAAACTACTTCGGCAGTGTTGGACGCCATAAACAAAGCTATACAGCCTGTTTTCACCAGATAAGAATCTGATACATTGCTTCTTTCAGAAACGTAGTCTTCAAAGACTTTCAGAGACTTATAAGACTTATGTCTATTTGGTTTTATGTTTTCAAGAGAATCCATTAAGAGTGCATATTTTGTGACTTTCAGAGATTCATAAGTTTTCTGTTTATGTGATTTCATATATTTCATATTATATAAAGAGTGTGTATTGATATCGTATCATTGTATTTGGCCATCGTGTTGCCTTGGATATTACTGACTATTGTTTGCAACACAGGGGTTAAGTTGTTTCATGACCAACAGCTGGCAGAGGACCTGTCCCGAGGCAGAGGACCTCCCTCTCCCAGTCCTCACCTGGGTGTGCGATGTGCAGGCATAGCGCTTTAAGTTCCCGAAGTCACAGGTGGTGTCTTCCAGGCAAAAGCTTGCTTTGTGGCCCTCGGCCACTTTCTTGCCCGTGGCCGCATCTAGCAGGTCATAGTGGCTGAATTCATCCATGCTGTGGTAATGCCTGAGGATGGTAGCAGGAAGATACACACACAGATCTACACAGTGCCGGATTTACGTATAAACTAAACAAGCTATAGCTTAGGGCCCCACTCTCTTGGCCCCCCCAAAAAAATTTTATTATTTTTTTTTAAAGAATATTTATTACAAAAAAAGAAAACACACAATAAAAGGTTACAAAGTTTCAAAAATAAATGAAAAAAGAAAAAATACAATAAAAAAGAAAACACCAACAGTACATCAGAACATTAAAAAGAAAGAACAAAAACATTTAAAAGGCAAAAACATTTAAAAAAGAAAAAAAGAAACCAGTATTTCCATGTCCTTATCTTTGTGGTGCTGTGGGTTAAACCACAGAGCCTAGGACTTGCTGATCAGAAGGTCGGTGGTTTGAATCCCCATGACAGGGTGAGCTCCCGTTGCTCAGTCCCTGCTCCTGCCAACCTAGCAGTTCGAAAGCACACAGTGCAAGTAGATAAATAGGTACCGCTCCAGTAGGAAGGTAAGCGGCATTTCCGTGCGCTGCTCTGGTTCGCCAGAAGCGGCTTAGTCATGCTGGCCACATGACCCGGAAGCTGTACGCCGGCTCCCTTGGCCAAGAAAGCGAGATGAGCGCCGCAACCCCAGAGTCGGTCACGACTGGACCTAATGGTCAGGGGTCCCTTTATCTTCCCTTTACTTATTTCCTTGACTTCCTCACACCTCCCTTTTTTGTATTCTAGTTCTCCCATAGTGGGAGAAATCCTTTAACTGGACTTGGATCAGACAGCATTTCCCAGCCCCATTCAGAGAGTCCCACGAATAGCACCCCCTACTTACTGGTGGCAGCTGTGCCACTCCCAGGTGTGGCGGGCCCGGTTGGGCAGGAAGTCTGCTGTGCCCTGATTCTTCACTCTTTGCGGGAAACGCAGGAGAACTCGGACGTCGTAGTCTGTTGCTTCAGGGGTGTAGGCGGTGCTGGAGGGACATTAAAGCAGGTGGCACGACAAGGTAAGAGGATTTCTGGGAAAGAATCAGTCCCGGGTGCAAATGCAGAAGGACTGCCAGCTTTTGAAGTGCACCCAGTGCCTCTATGCTGCAGTCTGAGCAGGGGATTGTGTTTATTTCCATGCCGTAAAATAGCACCCCCAGCTTTGGGGTCTGAAATAGAGTCGCAAAGTGATTTCATGCTCTTTATTCAGCTCATAGTGGTGAGGAGGAATGAAAATGAAAGTCCCCTCAAAGTATCTGCTTTATATACATTATTTACACAATGGGCTGCACATGATTGGCTAATTCCGGAATTCTACTGTAAGCCAATCAGGTTGTGGATTCACTTCTATCTGGAGCATGATTGGGTAGTTCCTGCCAACCAATCATACTGCTGCATTGTTCTGGGACCAATCAGACTGCTGCATTCTGAATCCTATTGTTCTAGGACCAATCAGACTGCTGCCTTTTGGATCCTATTGTTCTAGGACCAATCAGACTGCTGCAGTTTGGATCCTATTCAACTCAGTACATAACAGGGTCCTTATTCGATTTTTAAAGAATGCTTTTGTACTTCTGCAAAAATCAGGATTCCCCCCTTCTTTGTCCTTCAGTGGGCCTCATTGCTGTTGGCACTCGCCACATGAGTTTGCTGTTAGAAGGACTGATGTATGTACTTCACACCTATTAGCATGGCTTGCTTAGTGTTGTACAACCTAGGCTGTGATCCCAGGCATATTTACTTGGGAGTGAGTCCCTTGGGCCTCAGTGATGCTTACTCCCATGTAAGCGCTTGGAATCTTCCACGATTCGAGTTAAAATAATTTGAAATTGGTGTTAATATTGATATCATTTCCTTTTGCATTATAACTTGCATAGTGAATGAAGAGAGAGGTTGATTCTCCCACTGTTAAGAATTGGGAAGATCTGTGGTTTTGGTATTGTTTTACCTAAGGGATGTTTCTTCCATATCATTAAGAGATGTTGGAAAAGAAGAAGATTCTGCAGTGCAGATTAGGAAATATATTTTGTTGTCTTCTTTTTAAAAATGCATATTTATCTATATTAAGTTTTTAATTGTTGTATCTAGTTGTATGATTTTAAATGTGTGTTTAATTTTATGACCATAAGGAATAATTGATTCATATAATTTTACCTTTTTGGAAAGGAAAGGGTGATAGAGAGGGAATTGAGGAAATGAGAAAAAAACAACACGAAGATGTTTCGAAATTTCTCTGTAACCACAAATGCTGGAGACATGCTGTTGAATAAATTGAACATCCAGATCCCAGGCTGTCTTAGGAACAAAGACAGCTGTTTTATACTAAGTCAGACCCTTGGTCTATCTAGCTCAGTATTTTATACACAGATGGGCAGTGGGTCTCCCAGGTTTCAGGCTGGGTTCCCTTCAAGACCTGCCTGGAGGTACCAGGGATTGTATCAGGGGTTCTTCTGCAAGCAAGGCAGATGTTCTATCACTGAGCTTGGCCCCTTCACCAAGGTCATTCAAGCTCAGTGCCATCTTCTGCAGCCGTGGAACAAACTCCCTACACTTATGCACACAGCACAGACCTTATTGGCAGGCTGTACCTGTGCATGAAGGCATCTTCCATCAAAATGCTCTTCTCTTTCTTTTCAGTGAGCCTCTGGATGGTTAGTCGCCTTGGACTGGCAATCAAAAACACCCAGAGAAGCATTAAAGTCTAATTGCTGATTTGCTAGTCTGTGGTCCGCAAGTCATGATACTGCTGTCGTGAAACATTGCTTCATCAATATAGTATTTCCCCAAACATCTGACAGATGAAACGAGGGCAGGTGTCGAGAGAAGAAGAGATCCATTATTTCCTAGCGAGTTGGTTGCTATCTGTAATATACTCTGTTTAACGAGGAGTTGAGTAAGAAATACTCTGATGAAAGAACCATGTACAACACATCTTCTCTCCTTAAGCTACTTTCTCCTCCTGCCTCCTGCTGGGATCTACCTCCTAAACTAGATAGGGAAAATGTCCTTAAAGGTATCGTCACATTTATCCTAACACTACCTTAGAGCCTAGAGGCAGGTAGGTTTTAAGACATGTCTGCATTTAGGGTTTATCCACACTTACATTTTGCCCCACACTTTCCAGGGACAGTTCTGTGCTTTCCTAGTCCATTTCTGAGCACTTTGAGTCCCCCCCCCGCACTGCTTTCCCCAGGAAAACCCACTCTTTACCCCTGAATCAGAGCAAACAGTGATTTGGGTTTTCTACGTATTGCCGTTTGCTCCGGTTTAGCTGTAAAGAGTGGGTTTTTGCAGAGAAAGCGGTGGGGCAAAATAAAGGGAAAAAAGAAAAGAAGAAGAAGAAGAAAAGTTCTCCAACACAGATCTGGAAAGCCCAGACCTGTGCCCAGAAATGGAGAGCAAAGTTAAGTGTGGATGTAAGGAACTGACATTTCCAAGTAGGGTTGGGAGATAGCCCTGCCTGAAATCATGGAGAGCTACTGCCAGATAGCCTAGGCTATATTGAGCCAGAGGGATGTCTGACTCGGTATGAGATGGTTTCCTGTGTTCCTACATTAGTTGTGAAAAAGGGGGCCCATTCAGGAAGCCCCGCCCCCAAATGAGTTCAAAGAGGCATAGCAAGGATGTTCCCAGCGGCAACCTAAAATGGCAGATCTGATTATGAACAATGAGACAGATGAACCACACAGCAGAAAGTTGTTTCAGGGGTAGGGGGTTGCGGAATAAAGGCAGCCACGACAGGACTGTTCTGAAGGAACGGCACATTACCTTGCAAGACATTTCTCTTCAGCAGCACAACGCAGGGAGTAGAGATGAGCTCTTTGGACGTAAGTGGAAGCTTGGACATAGTTTGGGTCGGGAACAAGGTCAGGGAGGCCTGTTGAGAGAGGCAGGAGTTAGTTAGCTGTGGTGATGTAAGTGCAAGAGCAGGGATCGGCAAGGTTTACTTCGCCTGGGCCAGTTCACTCTAGAGGAGATCCCTCCATGGGCCAGATCGTGCGTGTGCATGAGCGCACGTGCACACGATTTCTGGCATCTGCGTCTGCGCAGTCGCGAATTCTGGCACCGCGGAAGTGAGTCCCCGCCCCACGCTGTGCCAGTTTAATGCAGTGTTCAGGGACTTGCCAAGCGGGCGGCTTGGTTCAGGGGACAGCTCGTGGGCCGGTTAAATGACCCCCGTGGGCAGCTTGTGGCCCATGGGCCTTAGGTTGCCTACCCCTGTGCAAGAGCAACCAGCCAAAGATGGACTTATAAAAAATTTCAAAGCAGAAGACAGCTTTCATTTTTAGCTAAAGAGCCTGCCTGTCTAAGCCTGACCCTGTTTTAGTTTATTTTGTGTGTGTTGGCAAATAAAAAATGTACCTTGTCCAAGACCACTTGGCTCTTCTTCTGGAGTTGATTAAATCAAGTGTTTTCATTTCGCTAGGCTGGCCCCATCCAGAGCATCTGTGGTGATTTTGCCCCCTGTAAGCTCAGGGTGGCCACGGGTCCTACTGTCACCGTTCTCTCTAAGGTTAGAGGATTATCAGATGACAGGCCCCTTTTTGAAGGAGTCCTCTGTCCCAAGGACTCCCTCTGCCCATGTGTGGCTTGAAGAGAAGGAACCACAAGAAGGGCAAGTGGGGACCTCAAAGGCCTTATCACCTGCATAGTGGGTTGAGCAAGCCACCTAGTCCACCTGGACAAAGCCTTCTTCCTGGTAAGGTGAGATCTACTATATTTCTGTTTAAACTTCCACAAAAACACATGGATGGTGTTGACCCGTGTTTGGTGTAATGCGTGAACAAGCCTCAAGCGAACAGGCAATGACATCAAGTTAAGAGCAGCAGCCCAACCAGCAGGCTCCAAGGGTTGGCAGGACGCCCTGCAAGATTGTGGACATTGGATTGTGGACTCTCACTGGTGCCAACCCTGAGCATGACCCTCAAAACATGGGAATTTGGGAAGGTAGGGATGGGGAGATGACTACCATTCACTGACTGAAGCAATAAAAGCTCGTGAGAAATTTCCCCTTCCTGCCTTGAATATTGTTGTTATTACCCCTGAAAATCCCCCCACCCAATGTCTCAGTCTGCAAAGGGGGCCACCACATTGAGGGGGGCATTTTGGCCCAGCCCTATATTCATAGGAGATTTACTGATATTGGGTGCTTCCAGACCATGACTATTTTCAACCAAATGAATCCAGGCCATGCAACTGAAGCTGATTGGATGCTCGTGGGGAAAAAAAAAACATTTCTCTCTCCCACTCCCTCAAAAGCACTGGGCTTTTTGCTGTAAGGAAAGTGATGGGGAAAATCCGCTGGAATGTGTGGGATAACACTTGCTTTGAGATGTCATCTGACTGCCCCGCAAACAAATCGAAGTGAATGTTCGTTAAATAGACAACATCATTTAACCTTAGGTTGAATGCTCGATGAGCATGTCACCTGGAAATGCCCTCAGAGGCGCACAACGGAGGGTCCTGCGGTTTTTGCCATCAGTGTGAAGACATCCCAGTGGTGACTCTAGGCTATGTTCATACCAGTGGTTTGCAAGGTTTTGCTTTGCAGTGTTTCAAGTCTCATTCTGTTGCCCATTACCTGATGTGTTTCCCCATTCCCCGAAGCTGCCATATGAGCATTCGCAACGGCTGCCTGAAATTACACACCTCAACTTAACGGCAGCTTCTGCTTTCAAATCAGATGGAAGCTGGTTCATAGGAAAGTGCATCAAACAGGAGTATTTCTCAAAAACCTATGGGATACCTATGGATTGTGGCTAACGCCACTTGCCCCTAACAGTGGGAGCATGCTGGAGTCAGGGTAAGCAGCAATGTGCACACGACCTTAAGCTCTGGTCGTAATGATCTTGTCTCCAACACCTACCTCTTAAGATGACCATGTGTGGGCCGAGCCAGGTCTGTTGTGGTGGTCCCCCACCCCTCAGCAGCTCATTGTGCTGGGGGTGGAGTTCCCAGTCTTTTGCCCCAAAATCTTCTCTTGATGCACTCTTGCTGTGTAAAATGTGAAACCCACTAATGGGCCATGGGGGTTCTGCTTAAAAACGAATGCTGACTGTTCAAGGGGAAAGCCTGCTCTCCTCTGATCCAGATTTTAATGGGAGCACCATTGGCCCCTGATTTCATTTTTTTTTAATTTTTACTGAGAGTGAAAAAGAACAATGCTTTCTTGTTTCATGGGCTGTTCTCCCCGGAGGAATCACATCACCACATTGGCTCTCGTTTCCTGCCTCTATGCTTAGTCATTTCTGCTGATGTAATCCCCAAGGGATTCTCACATTAAGAGAAGATTGGGGGGGGGGAGGTGTTGTGGAGGGGAAGGGAAACGGTTTCTTTAACTGAGCTATTCCCTTCTTAAAAAGTGAAACGTGAGACTCGCTCCCCCCCCCAATTCCTTGAGTCAGTGTTTAAGGAGAAGGGATCTTTATGACTCAGTGATTTAATACATGCATTAAGAGGGTGGGGGTGGGGAGAGATTTGTCATCATGCATATACACACACACACTCCCCTTATTTATAATAACTCAGGGATGAGGAAGCTATGGCTCTCCAGATGTTGCTGGTCTCCAGCTTGCATCAATCTCAGTCAGCACAGCCAAGGCTGATGAGTCCAGCAACAACTTGGGTGATGCAAAGGTTGCCCATCCCTGGATTGGTGCCCCACCCTACAGATCTTCACATGCAGCAGTGGGCTGCATATGATGGGGTACAGTGCCCATATCCACCTGCAGAACAAATGGTTGGCGTCGGACTACAAGCGACATATATTTATAAGGGAGTGGTTGTGCAAGGGCATTCTTATTTCTCCCAGAGAGCTACTGCCAGTCAGTGTAGACAAAAGGTAAACAAAAGGATAAAGGACCCCTGCAGTCCAGTCAAAGGCAACTATGGGGTTGTGGCGCTCATCTCGCTTTCAGGCTGAGAGAGCCAGCGTTTGTCCACAGACAGCTTTCCAGGTCATGTGGCCAGCATGACTAAACCGCTTCTGGCGCAACGGAACACTGTGACGGAATCCAGAGCTCACAGAAACACCATTTACCTTCCCACTGCAGTGGTACCTATTTATCTACTTGCACTGGCATGCTTTTGAACTGCTAGGTTGGCAGGAGCTGGGACTGAGCAACGGGAGTTCACCCTGTCGCAGGGATTTGAACCTCCCACCTTCTGATCGGCAAGCCCAAGAGGCTCAGTGGTTTAGACCACTGCTCCACCTGTGTCCCAGTGCTGAGCTAGATGATTCAAAACTTTTGAGAAACCATTCAGGGACCAAGGCATAACCAGTGGTCCAGAATTCTGGTTTCCCATTCCTGTAATAACTGGTTGGAAACAGAAGGCAGGAGAAAGCTGATTCCTTTGCAGCATGCATGACATCTGAATGCCCTGCATTCTTCCTGGATTGGTATTGGAGCCATCAGTTCCTGTTTTTGCTATGACAGCTTGGTAGCAATCAACAGGACCCCCAACGTGTTACAGGTGAAAATATGCTTATATAACAACCCTGGTTTTCAATGAAGGATCCAACAACATGCCCTGGCTTGCTATTTCACCCTGCTATTCCACCTACTGTATGTTACACTGACATAGCCTCTCTTCTGCTAATTTAAAAGCCCAGAGGGCACTCAGTTAAAACGATGTGCCAAACAGTGAAAACAGCACCAACCATGCCCATCGGTTGGGGGTTCCTAAAGGTTTTCAGAAGTACTGCTTTTGGGGGAACCTGCAAAAGCAGCCTAACAAGGACTGAGCATGGGCAGTTGCCACATAGGAACACAGGAAGTTGCCTTACACATAGACCACTGGTCCATTGTATTGTCCGAGCTGCTCTCTGGGCTTTCAGGAAAGGCTCTCTCCCAGCCCTACCTGTCAGAAATGGAACCTGGGACTTTCTGCATGCAAAGTGGATGCTCTGCCATTGAACCACGGTGCTTCCTCTAATGTTGACTGTTGGTTTTGGGGGGAAATGGGAAGAAGAGTTTGGATTTGATATCCCGCTTTATCACTACCTTAGGGAGTCTCAAAGCGGCTAACATTCTCCTTTCCCTTCCTCCCCCACAACAAACACTCTGTGAGGTGAGAGGCTGAGAGACTTCAGAGAAGTGTGACTAGCCCAAGGTCACCCAGCAGCTGCATGTGGAGGAGCGGAGACGCGAACCCGGTTCCCCAGATTACGAGTCTACCGCTCTTAACCACTACACCACACTGGCTCTCTGGGAAACTGGGAGCAGGTAGGAATGGACTGGAGTCGTGGATCTGGAAGAAGGAAGACCAGTGATATGGGTTTTCAGGGTGGGAGAGAAGGATGTGTAGACTTTTTTCGGGAAATTAGGCTAATTTAGACTAATTAGGCTTACTTGCACAGGGTGATTTGCATTGGAATAAATCTTACTATGCTACACGGACCAGTTGTCAGACTCTGCCTGTACCCACACCATATGTTCAAAGCACATGACTTCCCCCCCAAAGCCCTGGGGATTGCTGTTTGCTAAGGGTGCTGGGAATTGTAGCTCTGGCGAGGGATGAACTGCGGTCTCTGGGATTCTCTAGCGGAATGCATGTGCTTTAGATGGGCTTTAAATTTATGCTGTGTGCGCATCTTTATAAGGCAGTTTCTGATACTCTTTGCCTTTTGAGACAGGGGAGGCTTTTTGTGGGAAGAGGGCCCTAAAAGCAAGTTTCTCTGGTCTCACTTAATGAGGCTTGGGCACTGTTGGGTTTCCTATACAGCCTGGGAACATCTGGGCATGTTAAGCCCAGCCCCTTCTTAAGTGGAATGGACAGCTCTTCTGTGTTAGCAGTGCTTTGCAAATATTGTTTATAGGAGAAGAAGTTCGGTAATTGGAACTGCCCGGGGAATTTCCGATAAGCCAGAAATGAATT